ATGGAGAGACTGCAATAAATCAGTCAACACCTGACAAAGAAGAAACAGTGCAGTTCTGGGCACAGCTATGGGACAACCCAAAGAAATATAACAAGAATGCAGCTTGGATGAAGGAGGTGGAGAATGGAAAAAAGAAGCTGAAATGAAATAGCTTGTAATAACAGCAGAAATGATGGAGAAAAGGGTAAAGAAGATCAAGAATTGGTCAGTACCAGGTGAAGAGGAACTACATGGTTTTTGGTTGAAACATCTGATTGGTCTGTACCCACTCATTGCCAGGTATTTTAACAACATACTGCAAGGAAGTGAAATTGAACATTTCATCTTATAGGGATCTTTTATATATAAGAAAATAATTAGTTGTTTCTGAGCCCCTCTCATCATTTTTAATCTACATGTCTTTTGGGATTTGAGTTCACATTTTATTCCTTTACCAACAAATGCAGAAGTAGATGTTGCTCTTTGAAATATAAGTTCACTGAATGACTTTGGGATGTTACTAACTCTCAATCCAACTTACCCAACAAGATTGTTGTTGTGGGGAAAAAAGGAGGAGAGAGTGCTAAGTACATCTTGAACACCTAACATTACCTTATATAGTTCTATCATTAGTCTTTCGTTTTGTTAAAGAGAATCAGACTTTTATACACCTCCTTGCTGGTATGTCCTCTAAGACCTCCATAACACATATTTTTGAAACCATGATGCTGTTTACGTTGTCTTGTAGATATTCCTGAATTCCTATTCCAGGCTAAAAAAACACCTGAAAGGCCAGCCTTATCTCTTGTAATAATCTTCCTTAACCTGAATGTTTTCAGATGTTTTGGGATGACAATTCTCACAGTTCCTGGGCAGGTATTTGCCCATGTTGTCTGGAAATTCTGGAAATTGTAGTCCCAACACATCTGGAGGAAACCAAGTTTGGAAAGGCTGTCATATAATATGATACCTGTGCTATCCTTATCTATTGGTGTGGGTTGTTCTGTGACTTCATCCTCCAGACTCTTCCTCTTCTTCAGAATATCTTGGTTCTCCCCAGGCATGAATTGGTTCTTCTTGTTCTTAATCAAGATTTTCCCCATGAGATCCTGAGGACTTGGCAATGGAACTCCTGGTTTTAGCTACCAAAGAAAGAAACAAAGAAATAAGCCAAGTTATTTCATATGATTCCTCATATTAACACAGAATGCAGATGGGCAGGATAAGTGCACCCCAATCACTGTTTAACTATTTAATTTTCTTATTCACTTACTGGAAATTTTTCCAGTGGTTCTGTCAACAGCATGTCCCCAAAGATGGTTCTGCAGTATTCAGCCATCTTAGCCTGCTGCTTAGGTCTAAAAGAAAGTACAAGAAATAAATAAGTTATGAAAAACTAAGCTTGGCATCATCCCTGCTTTACACTTTTTACTCCATGTTTCTATTCTAGCATGTGCAAGACTGTTCTAAATTTACTATCCCAGAAACTTATTGATTTTGCTTTAAACTCTGGTCTGCACCTCCACCCTACCACATCTCATGCTTGCCATTGCATGGTAACCATTTTAAAAATGTCCTTAAAATTATTTAGAGTTAATATAAGATTTTTTCTCTCTTTCTTAGTTATTAAGTAATTTAACTATCACACTGCTGTGTTCCACATTAATTTGGGTGGAATACCCTTCCCAGATCCATTTTTAAAAGACTCATTTGCTGGGAAATCTGGGAATAATGGTGCCAAGGCATATGGGAGGGAAGACTGGATGAGAATTTCCTTTTATTTATAAACATGCGTTGGAAAAGAAAAGGTAGTTCTCAAGTTTTACCATCTCTTGATTGTGAATCCTGATTAGCCTTTCAAGATCTGACCGAGCATCAAACTGAAAGAAGAACTTCAAGAGACAACTCGCAGTTGGAGAGAGGATGTTTATCAGCTGCAAAGTAGCATGGCACACAGACACATACACACTCCTTTCTCATGTGATTGACTGGCATTCTGCAGGACTATTGTGTTTTTCTTTTAAAAAATAGGCCACCATTAACCATGCACTCTAAAAGTGTACATTTATTTAAAATAAAAGTTTGGCAAGCATCAGTCACTCTCAAATTTGTGTTTTACTCTCCTCATTGTTTGATTTGCTAGAAGGTTACTAATAACATTGCAGCAAGAATTAATTTATCCTGACTGAATATACTCCTCCCCATTTCCAGGTTATCAAAACACAGATTCAATCCTTTCCCACTGAGCGAGATCCTAATACTCACAAATCCACATGGTTCTCAAAAGACAGGATTACTGGGTAGGGAGAGGTTTTAAAAGCACTTTCTGCAATAGCGTCAATTGCATCCTGTATGAGACGAGAGCAAGAGTGAGAGAGAGAGCAATTTAATTGAATGTTTGCATAGGGAAAAGAAACCTACATCATTCAAATGCTGATGAACATCTCTCATAATTGATGTGCTGGGTGGTCCTGGTGAGAATTTTAGTTCAGCAATATCTGGAAAACCACTGATTGCTCACCTATGGTGGAAAGCCTTCATATATATAACGACCCCAAATCAGTAATATGTGCAGGCTCACGTGGGAATTATCAGTGCAATTTTTATTTATTTATTTATTTATTATTAAATTTGTATGCAATACAACAGTATCAGTGCAATACTGTACAATGATCAGTTGCCTGGAAGTCCCTGAGTTTCTAGTACCATGAGAACAGTCATTTATAGACAGACTCCTGATGTTAGAGGACAAGACACTGTGACCACAAGTGAAATGGAGAATCCCATAATATCCATAATTGGGAAATATTTAACAGGGAGTGGGTAGTGTAATGCCTGATTGTATTGAGAATATGTTTAAAGTATGATTATTTTACACCTTAATTGCTATGTGGTGAGAACTGAAGAAGTGCAACCATTTTCCAAAGATTTGGGGAAAAATGTATTTTTTGGGGGAAAAAAACCACTGGCAATTACTTTGTAACATTTGGAATTATTTTCAAATACATAAATGTACCAAAATACAGAGATGGGCAGTTTTAAAACCAGCAACTGATATTTATGTCCTCTTACACTTTTGTAGCCTGAAATTGCAGTTAAGCTCACCCAACTTTAGCCGGATCACATCTCAGCCTAACTTAAGATGCAACCATCACAACAATCTACTTGCATTTTATAATGACCTATTCCTTACCAAAAATTGAACACTATGATGACGGGGTCCATGGTCAAATTTATTGTTAAAGCTAATAGCCTTAACCATAGTCTGCAGACCTACAGACTTAGCCATGGTGTGGGAATGGCAGCAAAGGAAAGGATGTTTGCAACAGCATTTTTTCACCTCCTAAGGAGCACCAAAGCTTATTTTCAAAATGAAAATGCTGTGGGAAGAATTAGCTGACAACTGAACCTACATACAGCTGCCTTTTTGTTTAATAAATTAAAAAGTGGAAAGGAAGTATTTACTGGCTAACCACACCAAAGGCGGCTAGGATGCTAATTGGGTAGAGGTTCCATCAAACTACCCTTATTTGTGGTGAGATATATATGCATAGAATGAATGAACACAGTTCTTAGGAAAGGGGTGGAATGTGGGAGGAGAGGCATCCTTTTAAAAAGCTGATATCGTTAACAAAATATTCCCACTAAAGAGTTGTAGCCTTCTGCTAATCTTGAATCTGTAAACTGTGGCCTTAGGCAAAGGGGAAATCCAGAACATCCCATTGTCCTTATGAGAAACCTAGGACAGGATGGGGAGCCACAGTCTGGATGGAATATGGCAAACAGACTGGCTCCAGGATGACAAAGGAGTGAGACAAAGCTGTATACTCTCTCCTTGTTCATTCAACCTTTATGCTGAATATATATTAAGGGAAGCTGGATTGGAAGAAGATGAGTGTGGTTTTAAAACTGGAGGAAGAAATATCAATAACCTGTGCTATGCTGATGCCTCTACTCCGATAGCTGAAATTGCAAATGACCTGCAAACTCTAGTTATAAAAGTCAAAGAGCACAGTGAAAAAAATGGGACTATGATTAAATGCAGTCACCCATTGGGGGAGATGGGCAGCATACAAATTTACAAATAAACAAATAAATAAATAAATAAATAAATAAATAAATGTAAAGACTAAATTTATTTATTTATTAATAACAAATAAATAAATAAATAAATAAAAATAAAGACTAAACTAATGACAACAGATACAGCCTTAGAAATGACAACAAATATGTTGAAGTTTAGCTTCTATCTTTTAGGATTGAATATAAACAGTAAAGAGATCAGCAGTTGAGAAATACGCAGCAGAGTAGCATTTGGCAGGGCAGCAACGAAGGCACTGAAAAATATATTCAGATGCTATGATGTGACCAGAATCATGGGGGCATTTGATCTGGTCTGGCAGAGCTGTTTGTACATTCTTAATATTCTAATGAGATGGGATTTGTCAAGCTAGGCCTCTGAGGACTGCTTGATTTGATTATGTGCCAGATCAAAGACCTACCCCCCAGCACTCAGTTTCCTATAGAGGCCAAATGGATTATTATGAGTCGTCCATAAGCAGGTCAGGAGCTGAATTGTTGTTCCCCAGTTATCCCAGATTGATATTAAAATGTCTCATTCTGGAAGCATCATAATAAAGAGCTACACTAATTCTCTATTAATGTGTTTAACCCCTCTTTAAAGCCATCTCTGTTGTTGGTCTGTCCTTATATTGTATAATTTAACTTGCTGCTATATGAATAATGTTTTTGCTTGTTCCACCACTCACTTTCTTTGGACAGTCATGCATTATGAGATACCATTATGTATTTTTTTTATCTGGAAATAATATTTTTGTGAAACCTCTCTGCAACTGTCATTTATTAATTTATTTTTCCTACTCCAACACTGTAAATGATAGTTCTTGGTAATATTGCTTGATATATCATTATCTGCCTTCTCCTTCTGTAGCTCCAGCCATTGATTGACATCATTTTAAACAGGACATTTATCTTCTGTGGGTAAACTGAGTCTCATTATGCAACAGCTGTAATTCCAAATGAATTTTATCAGAAAGTAACAAAAGCCAAAGAATGGGATCAAAGCAATAACTGGAACATGCTTATAAGTTATTATGAAAGACAGGCCAAGATGGTGAGCTTCAATTCATAAAGCCACCAAGAGTCAACTGTACTGAATGGCCCATAACTTTGAATTGTCTTTTGCAGAACAACTTTTAACTGAACAAGCAGTTGATCGTGGATGCAGGATCCCGCCTCTTGACGTGATCTGATTCCAAAGGAAACTGCTGTAGGTTCAAATCAGGAGAGATCCACCTCTTTCCACCCACAAGTTATTTTGGAGAGGAAAACAAAATAGGAAGGAAGGGGAGAGGGGAATATCCAAATGTTATATAACCTATAATGAAAAGTACATGCTGTGCTAACGGCCTGTAATTCCTTTTCAAGTTTCATTGTTGTGGTGCAGAGCAATCATTCCCTGTAATTATAGCTCCAGTCAAGCACAATAGCTTCTATTTGCTCTGTACATTGCGTGGTCCTGTGTCATGGTAATTGTGATGTCATAAGATGGAGAATGTGAAATTATTAATACCAAAAACTACAACCATGTTAATCATTTAAAGGGTCATTTTATTCTTTTCCTTGCTGTTTCAACTACAGCTGAAGGTTGTAACCTGCGGAGTAACTTCCTTTCAGAATTTTTGGGCCAAAAGAGAACTTTGAACACTTGAAGGGGTAATAAGAAAGATCAAGATTCTGATCATTTAAATATATAGTTGTATCACTGTTTATGCATGCATCACTGCTGTAATACATGGATCTTAAGCACCCTTATTTGAATTGCTGTGTCTTGTGTGTCTTGATTACAGTAATGTCAAAGTACTGCTGTGCAGAACACAAAAAGTAGCACAAATCTTTAAAAAAGATGAAAATCATTCTTCATTTAGGCAAAAATTGAAATGAACTAAAGATATGTTTATGCAAAGAAATCGAGGAAAACAATAGAATGGGGAAGACTAGAGATCTCTACAAGAAAATTGGAGATATGAAAGGAACATTTAGTGTAAAGATGGGCATGATAAAGGACAAAAAAGGCAGGGACCTAACAGAAGCAGAAGAGATTAAGAAGAGGTGGCAAGAGTACACAGAAGAACT